TATTTTCACGGGGAAGTCGGCCGTCTTCGACCCGTGTTCGTATCTTCTTTTTTCGCCCTACGCGGGCTTTATTTTCACGGGGAAGTCGGCCGTTTTCGACCCGTGTTCGTATCTTCTTTCTTCGCCCTACGCGGGCTTTATTTTCACGGGGAAGTCGGCCGTTTTCGACCCGTGTTCGTATCTTCTTTCTTCGCCCTACGCGGGCTTTATTTTCACGGGGAAGTCGGCCGTTTTCGACCCGTGTTCGTATCTTCTTTCTTCGCCCTACGCGGGCTTTATTTTCACGGGGAAGTCGGCCGTCTTCGACCCGTGTTCGTATCTTCTTTCTTCGCCCTACGCGGGCTTTATTTTCACGGGGAAGTCGGCCGTCTTCGACCCGTGTTCGTATCTTCTTTCTTCGCCCTACGCGGGCTTTATTTTCACGGGGAAGTCGGCCGTCTTCGACCCGTGTTCGTATCTTCTTTCTTCGCCCTACGCGGGCTTTATTTTCACGGGGAAGTCGGCCGTCTTCGACCCGTGTTCGTATCTTCTTTCTTCGCCCTACGCGGGCTTTATTTTCACGGGGAAGTCGGCCGTCTTCGACCCGTGTTCGTATCTTCTTTCTTCGCCCTACGCGGGCTTTATTTTCACGGGGAAGTCGGCCGTCTTCGACCCGTGTTCGTATCTTCTTTCTTCGCCCTACGCGGGCTTTATTTTCACGGGGAAGTCGGCCGTCTTCCACCGTGTTCGTATCTTCTTTCTTCGCTTTACGCGGGCTTTATTTTCTTCCCTGAAGGCAGATCGCCTAAGTGTTGTATTGCTATAACTTAACTAAGCAAACATTACTGATGATAATGGGTGTGGGAAATAAGTCGAAGTGTTATGGCGAGGTTTAAATCTACTGTAAGAGAAAACTCTATCTATAAAGTATTTCTCTTATGCTATATTGCGTTTTTTTAAGGGAACAAAATTCCCTTAAGAAAACGCACGAAAATATTCGAATAATTTACATAACACTTATTATATAATCGAGATGGGTTGATAACGATAATGATAATAATAATAATAATAAGCGCAGAGCCCAAACGGTTAGGAGTTAAAAGTTGAAATTTGGTACACAGTTAAGGTACAGTACGTCATGAGAACACATACTAAGAAGGGATTTTTCGAAATTTCCTCTTGGGGGAGAGAAACAGAATTAACGCTTCCCGTGAAAAACTCGGCTTCTATTATACTATTTTAGATGCGGTTTTTTTGCGTTTTAATAGGGTATACCATGAGAATGCACATTATGAAGAGATTTTTCGAAATTCCTACTGCGGGGGGAGAGAGAGAGAGTTAAGGATTACCACGAAGAACTGGGCTTCTACTGTACTATTTTTCATTTATGTGGGAAATCGAACATATTTTTAGACCCTTCTAAAAATTCTCTAATTAGTCTCTGAAGAGGGAGGGATTTAATTCTTGCACTCGGTGAAAACGGGTAAGATCGGCTATAATCTAATATTTAATCTTTGCTATCGTTACTTTTTGTCCGAGCAATGCCGGGCTCATCTGCTAGTATTAAATAAAGTGACTTACACGCAATACGAATTCGTTTAAAATGGCTTCCTTCCGTAGTAATTTATTGTTAGTTAGCTAATGTCGGCTTCCAAATATTTCATTTCAGTTTTATTTCCTTTACTAAAATACGGTGTTTCTGCCTTTCCCCTCTATTATTTTGCAATTTTTCATCTTTTTCTTTCATTATTTCTTGTAAAACTAGAAAAAATTTCGGTATTTTTCTTAGAAACTGCCGGAGATACCAAAATGGCGTCTGGATTCCGCCTAGCAACAATGGAGTTTGTATTGTTTATTCGGTAACAATTGCCGATAAAGCTGGAATCTAATTGTTGTCGTCGATGATGTTGTAATAAGCACGTGGTGAGGGTTGATTTTTCACAAAGAGACGGGTATATAAAACAAATAAGACGTGCTTTATTTTTTTCTGTGAACATATACAGAAAAGGTTCTTGTTGATTCCGACCTCCTGATTCCTTACTTCAAATAAAAGAACAAACAACACCCTTTTTCGATTCACAGTCGAGCAAGAACTTTCGTGATACAAAGAGATACTTAACTTCTAACTTAAACCTACTTATATCGGTTTTAAAAAGAAAAGGAAAAAGGAAAAGAAAGTTAGATTAGAAGAGAGAAACAGAAATATATTTTTAGGAAGGAACGGGTACCCGAGTTGGTGATTGAGGTGGCGGCTGCTGGATGACTTCGTCTTGGGATTTTTCCTTTTGGGGACGGATCGCATGCGAGAATCGATTAAAAAAATGTCCTTTGTCTTTGGCTTACCAATGTCCTTATCAACGCTACTTCTTTCTTACGTGCTCTTCGTGACTCTTTCAGTCGAAGCAACACCGACCTGGAGACCTCTCTCCGACGGTCTTCCCTCTTCTAGGTCCAAAGCCAAAAGTACTCACTTAGTCTCTCACTTGCCCTCTGGGCTATTTCTAATCCTTTGTCTCCTAATTAGGTCACCGACCACCCACACTTGGACGAAAGTTCCAGAAAGTATAGACAAAGGAACACAGAACAAAGAAAGAAGGAAAGATAGAAAATCATATATATACATATATATAAAAATATAACAAAAAAT